CCAACGCGTCCCATCGTTTAAATTATAGCTAAAATCACAGCAGGTAAAAATCCGTATACTTTTGTGCTTGTGTGTGTGTTCGTGTACGTATATGCGCTTGTGTATCTTTCGAGCGTGGGTACGCGTGTGTGAGTTAAATAGAGAGAAAGGGAGAGACTGGAGAGAAAGAGAGAGAGAAAGCGATAAAGAGAGAAAGATAGATAGATAGAGAGAGAGAGAGAGAGAGAGAGAGAGAGCGAGAGAGAGAGAGAGAGAGAGAGAGAGAGAGAGAGAGAGAGAGAGAGAGAGAGAGAAAGCGGGCGCGCGAGAGAGAGCGAGAGAGAGCGAGAGAGGTGGGGGTAGTGCTTGGCCTGGTACGGCAAAAACGCAGTTATGCCGATTTAATTTAATATCATGGTGGCGGTACATGAAAGAAGAAAAGAACCCTTCCTTTTGGAAGTATATGACGGCACAGGATACTTGGATACACGTAGAGTGCTGGTATAAGCGAAAGAGCAATAGTAACCACGATATTCCATACAACCGCGTGATGCCATTTCTATACATGACGTAGCCGAAATATCAGATGTATTACTTACACATGACGTAGCCGAAATACCAGATATATTACTTACACATGACGTAGCCGAAATACCAGATATATTACTTACACATGACGTAGCCGAAATACCAGATATATTACTTACACATGACGTAGCCGAAATACCAGACCTCCTTCGAGTAGATGTCCGCCATCGAGCTGGGCATGCAGATGACGATGACGGCCATGTCTGCGATGCTGAGGTTGACGAGGAAGAAGTTGGTCGAGTTCTTCATGTCCTTGTTGCGCGACACGACGAAGCAGACGAGCGAGTTGCCGACGACGCCGATCGTGAAGATGAGCGCGTAGAAGAACGTCGCCGCGATGACGATGTACGGCGGCGTGACGGGCATCCCGCCGCCGCCGCCGCCCCCGCCGCTGCTGCTGCCGACGCCGGCGCCACTGACGATGCCGGCGAGCGGCGGGAACGTGCCGTTGGCTGTTGCGTTGGTCGTCGCTAGGCCGCCCATCTTTGCGGTTGCGAACTTGTTTTTATCTCGCCGGTGAGACGGGCGCGGGATTATATCGGATTATTTCACGCAGCCTCGGGTGTGTATCTGCTGCGTCTCGTCGCGTGTCGGGTCTTCTTCTTACCGCCTTCCTTTCCGCGTCTCTCCGTGGAATGTTTTATGATTTATATCGTCATCGCGTGACATATTTAGCACGCACGCAACCTAACATCTTGTCGTCGACGCAGCGCTTACGAGACTTCTTAGCTTGCCGTCGGCTTACTGACGATCGAGTGCTGAACCTAGGAACGTGTTGACGTCTCGATTGCTCTGCGATCTCTCTTCGATCTCCACGCTGTTACTTCTACTCGTATGTTTAGGGCGAAATACTTCCTTTAACGGCAAAACCTTTTCGCTCGGGCTTTAGAAGATGAGGAGTTTTCATCACCGCACTGTTCAAACGGAGTAAATTATTATAAACCCGCTTGTCTGTTTACCCAGCCAGATACTCACGGCGCAGTAACCCGGTAATTTTCCTTCGATCCTTTTTCAGAAAAAAAGCATCGCGCTCCTGTACATTTCATTGCGAACCACTCATTACGTGTAGTATTATGTACACACATCCCGCGGCGCGTTGCGGCGGTACTCCGCTATACGGCGTCAATTCTTAGCAGTCAATAGAACTCGGTATAGCTTCACGCGGAGCTCTCACGTGACACAACTTCGTCGGCCGGCACGAGCAGGCGATGTTTGACGAGCCGCGTCGTCTGCCAGGTCACGTGCGCGCGCTGCGAGCAGCCTGATTGGACACACCCCTACTTCCCCGGTTGCCTTGCCTTGCTCGCGGTTCATCGCGCATGCGCAGGCGCGCGGATCGCAGGCGCAGCGTCTCGGCGACTCGATGCGTAGAGAGGGCGTGTGCGCACGCGTCTCTCGCTGTGTGCGTGTAGCCTGCGGTGGGAGCGCGTGCCCCCATACGTACGTCCTCGCCGATCGAAAGGATTCTGGAAATTACGAAGGCGACTCGCGACCGACGCGCGGCCGCGAGATTTCTCGTGCTCGCGATTTCGCGCGAGATTCTGCTTTTGTGGGAGGTAACCGCGTAATTCGCTGTCGACGTTTATTTTATACGTCGCGAAATTTCCAGCGGAACCTTTTCTTATCGTTTTCCTATAATTGTTCGCCATCAGCGATGGCCACTCAGTTGCGGCGGCGGCGGCGGCGGCGGCGTTCGAGGTCTATACTAAGTGGTTATTTCTTCAATAGAAAAAACGTTTATACGAGAGCATTTCTTCCGCGTGAACTTCTAACGATGACAATCATTGCACTGCGCGCGTAATAACAACGTTGAATTCGAGACGAATGTGTGTAATGCGCATTATTTCGATGATGATAACGAACTCCGCTAGATGGCAGGTGTGCAACTTAGCGAGATAATGAGCTGGGGAGGCTAATTTCACTTTACTCGCTTTTCCTTTCTAGCTAATGGACCGCGGCGTAACATTCACGCTATGATCGGAACACAGAGAGCCTAATGAATTTAGCGGCTGGCTAATGTAGTTGTATATACATATATACATATGCCAGCATTGATATATTCTCTCTTCTATGGTATGAAGATGCTTGTGTGCGCTAAAGCCCATCACTCTGTTTATCACAGTTCGCACAATCCCTCCGGCAGCTGCTGATGCGATAGTGTCGAAAACAAAAGTAAGATTTATGATCACGCAATCTATGTATATCGCATATCAAGTGACACAACATCTCTGTGCGTTAGCTCAGCAGTCACGTACGCACCATTTCGCACAAGAACGAGAGTGGGGACAGAGAGAGATAGGGAGAGAAAGAGAGAGAGGGGGGAAAGGAGGGAAAGAAGGGAGGGACAGCGAGAAAACGAGAGAGCGAAGCATATATGCATGAGTACTTACTACATATGAACATCCGAGTTTAACGATTAGTGCTTAGTCCTTACCGACTATTCATAGGCTCTATTATTTGTATTTCGCAACGACTGCCCTTTCTACTCTGCCATTTAACCGTTATCGACGTCGTACTATTTTCTCTGGTCGGCGGAAGTGATCACCTTATATCGATGAAATAATTAAACATAAATTTACACTTTGAATGTGTCGTTCAACATGAACGTTGGTAAGAAATTCATTAACGTTGTGCGTTGTGGGACAGTGACGAATTTATTGGGGTTATTGTAATTTCAGTGGCCAAATCCTACTTTCATCATAAATGCTATGAACGGCACTGTACAGTAGCTTATAGCACAATGATTCTGCTTCTATGAAACCAATGAGCAAATTAAAGAGGTTTTATAACCAGGTGGCGCCACTCGACACCAGGGGACGCGATCGACGGGATTCTATAGCAGAAAGTATTCACAATGGTCAAATCTAGTTGTGTGACTAATTTCATACTTGTTTTCAACAGTGCAAAAACAGTGCATTTTGAGAGCTAAGTTACTATTATTATTTATTAGTAGTAGGCCTATCGTTCCAGACTCTTGGCTAGACCGGGACGGCAGTAATGACTGCATGAGGGTTTATCTTAGCGCGTGGTAGTTCATGGCTTCAGCCTATTCTCTTGCAGTAATGTTAGACTGACTTCGTACTCCATCGTTTGGCAATAGTAAGTGGAGTGAATTGAGAAAGTATTTTCTTGCCTTTTCAAGTCGACAGCTAAATCAAGAATAGTTCAATTTTTTTTCCCACATACGCGCTCTACAGTTTTCGTTAGAAATTATTTTCACTAGCTGCGAGGGAAGACATCTTTCACATTGCTATCTCCGCAGCGAGGCGATAGATTGATTTTGATCGATTGATTACACACGCTGGGCAAACGCGTCTTTCTGGCATCTGTCTATATACACGTTGCCGCTTCTATCATGCAAGCACAGCTGCCTTAGCGCGCACGGCTGTGTCACCAGAATCCGACCTGGAACCAGCGATATGGCGAATGTCTATGATCGTGGATGATACAGCGATGCGCCACCCTGCGCGAATTTGCGATTATCAGCCACAGGCATGCGAACGCACACACCCACCCGCGCACACGCATGTACACACCCACGCGCACACGCATGTACACACGTACACGCGCACACGCATGTACACACCCACACGCGCACGTACACGCGCACACGTATGTACACACCCACACGCGCACGTACACACCCACACGCGCACGTACACGCGCACACGCATGTACACACCCACACGCGCACGTACACGCGCACACGCATGTACACACCCACACGCGCACGTACACGCGCACACGCATGTACACACCCACACGCGCACGTACACGTGCACGCACACACCCTCTCGCGCACGTAGACGCGACACTAGTGGGAAACGGCGAGCTATTAAATGTAGAAACATGATCCACTTTTCAAATTCCACGATTTTACTCCAGCTATTATTTGTCTCGCCTAGTTCCAGTCAATTACTCTCTCTCTCTCTCTCTCTCTCTCTCTCTCTCTCTCTCTCTCTCTCTCTCTCTCTCGCACTTACTCACTCGCCCTCTCTCGCGCGCACTCTCTCTCCCTGCCTCTGTCCTACTCTACGTCTCATTATATATCCACTCCATTCATCTACCATCACTATCAATGGCAAGTCAGAGGTAACAAATGCGAATGCCTGAGCTACCGGACCATCAGCCACCATGTCAATATTTCACGTCTCCATCTTCTACGCATTACAGCTATAAATCACTTTCCCTTCGCGACCAGACGAAAATCCCACGAATCAACATGAGTTATTTAGAAGAAAAACTGCAATGCTATCGCCTATATACACTGCAAGGAACAAGGAGCATAAAAATGTTTATCCATTAGGTAAAAATGTTTTTTTTTTGCGAAACAGGCAAAACGGAGCAATTGCGTGGTTTTAAGCTGAAATGTAGACTTTGCGTATATCCACTTTCCGGCCGCCACAAACACTGAAACACCATTATGCACAGAAACACTGAGAAGAAATTCGAGCAAGAAAATCTTACGATACTAAATTATCTGTAGAAACCGTTTGCGAATCTTTGGAAACGCGATAACTAAAACGCCCGAACACAAACGCCGAGGGTACACTGTCTTCCACCGCACTAAGCACTGCTTGGCTGGGCTGGGAGGGAGTGTAATACCATCTGCTCAAAGCTCATAATAATACGTACGTGGTAGATCGCTTCTAATGTACCCCACCGCCGATCCCTTTTCATTCCCTATATAGACGGAGATATTAAGACTATAGGGAACACACTCGTAATACGATATGATGCGTGTAAAGCAATGCACATGCAACATATAGAACAAATGAAAAAGAGTGAAGATATATTCTGTACAAATTTATTGTATTCCTGGTCATTGAACTCACTTTACATGGCTACCAAACACACACACACACGCACACGCGGAGAAAGAATTCACAGTAGATGAGCAGGAGAAACAGATTACTGCGCGCGAAATTACTGCAGTTAAGAAGATCACAGTGATGCCGCTCGCATGGCAGACAATGCTACGAACAGTGGCGGCATTTCAATAGCGGGGTTCAAACAACGGCAAAAAGTAAGCAGAAGCTGCTGTTTAAACAACATCGGAATTAAAAAAAAAAAGCGCCGTAATTTAAAGATTTAGCGCATTTCAAACAATGACTGAATATCGGTAGCCCGCCGGAAATTTAAAATAATGGCCCCTTTTAAACAATGGCGGATGTGGGTTCTAAATTTCTAATCAATGGCGGGGTTCGCGCCCAAATGCCTAGATGTGGCAGACGACCAACTATTTACAACGACGGGAGCGCGGCGATAGCACGAATAATAAAGAGAGTGCCTAATGAAATTACAGAGATAACATCGTGCCAAGCACACAAGCGCTCACAACCATGGCCCGAAACCGGCCATTAAAC